AAAGGAAAGGAAAGGAAAGGAAAGGAAAGGAAAGGAAAGGAAAGGAAAGGAAAGGAAAGGAAAGGAAAGGAAAGGAAAGGAAAGGAAAGGAAAGGGGAAAAGGAAAGGGAAAAGGAAAGGGAAAAGGAAAGGAAAGAGAAAAGGAAAGGAGGAAAGGAATTCACACAGTCTGTCTCTACTGCCAACACAGCAGTCTGTTCACTTAAGTGCTTGTGTTCATGTGGTTTGCTTCCCGACAACAAAATTACCTGCTAAAACGTTCAAGAAAGGCATAACAGAAACTCCACAGCTGAGCTGCCCCTTAAACCAAATTGAAAAAATCCAAAATTAATTCTGGACTGAGAAAAGGGCTCCAAATTTAATATGGTATTTTACTACTATGGAACTAATCCTCTGAATCAAATAGATTTTTAAACGAAAGGGCTAGTCTCTGACAGAAGAAAAAATGCTGCCTATTTTTGTGATTAATAAAAATGTTGGTCTGCAATAAAATTATTATTATGGAAGGGGAAATGTGTTTGACGAAGCGATAAACTTGGATGCTGAAGTAAGGTTTGTTTATTCTTTATGAATGTCAGTTCCTGTGAGCTATCAGATGCAATAAAGCATAAAATTCTGTTTGAATTATATTCACATGGTCTAATATCATATAATAAGTGATACTGAAAGCCTCAAGACATATCTTCTAGGGCTGGTAATTTAATTTCAGTATTTTTGGATTAGTGATGGAAAGTTATGGATTAGAAGAGATATCAATGTTTGTGAACCTTTTAGATAAATAAAGTACCAGAAAGTACTCTCCTGAGATAAGAAGGTTAATAGATATACCATTGAATTTGAGCTTCTTTTAAGTGCTGTGTCACCAGTATATTCTTTGGTTATAGAAGTTTGTAAAACCACACGTTAAACTGAAAAAAAACAAAAAAAAAAAAAAAAAAAAAACAAACAAACAAAAAAAACCAAACCAAAAACAAAAAAACACCAGTTAAAATAAGAATTACATCATTTTGAACATTTGCTGTACACTTCCATATGAAAGGAACAGATTTAAACTGCTGCACCAAGATTGATGCAGATAGTATAATTAAAAGAAAAGATAAATCAGAACTAAAATTCATCAGGGGAATTGATTTAGCTAACACACTTTCACAAATTAGAAAGCCAGAGGGGTACAACCATAATCATCTAGTCTGACCCCTTGCGTTCCATGTCATGTGATTTTTCTGAATTAATTCTTATCTCATCTAGCACTTATCTTTTTGAAAGACATTTGATCTTGATTTTAAAATGCATAACAAAATGGCTGCACTTGAAAACCATTTCCTCAGTAGCAGAGTTTTTGTACATGGTGAATATTTTGACTGTTAAGTTTCATTCATACTTTAAAACTTAATCTGTTTTCACAGGTATACTCATTTATACAATCAAGGATCAGATGAAGCTTTCTGGCTACAGATTCATGGTGAGCATGCGTGTTTAGCTGATTACACCTGGTCTCTGGGTCACCTGCCAGCTTCTTCAAGGTCACTGAAGAATGAGTGTAAGAGAACCAAGAACTGACAGTAGGAGTTCATAGGCTCAGCAATGATTCTTTGTCCACCTTTTCATTCTGGGATCTGTTAGCTGACCCATTTTTGATCTTTATAATGTGTGCTGCATTGATTTTTTTTTCTAGCCCCTGATCAGAACGTGTAGTATCAATCAAACCAAAGTCTTCCTATTCTCTAGGAATACTGAATTCAGGCAGCTAGTTAATCTGCATAACCTATTATTGATGTATTTATCAATCAAATTTGAAATCTTGCTGAAAGAAAGAGTGAGTCTTATGACAAGTTTTTCACAAATTCATGTGAAGATATTTGCAAATATTTATGTCTTTTTAATTCCATTCCTTACTATTCATAGGAATCATAGAATGGCTTGGGTTGGAATGCAAACAGCCTTGAAGATCATCTAGTCCCAACCCCTCTACTATAGGTAAGGAACCTTCCAGCAGACAAGATTGCTCAAAGCTCCATCCAAACTGGCCTTGAAGACTTCCAGGGATGGGATATCCACAACTTCTCTGGGCAGCCTGTTTCGGTTCCTCACTCCCTTCACAGAAAACAACTTCTTCCTGATGTCTCATATAAACCTACTCTCTTTCAGGTAAAATCCATCCCCTACATTGTCTTATCACTGCATACTTTTGTAAAAAGTCCCTCTCCATTTTCTCTTCAGTTACTGGGAAGCTACAATTAAGTCACCCCTAAGCCATTCCTTTTCTAGCCTGAACAATCCCAGTTTTTTAACCTTTCTTGATAGGAGAGGTGCTTCATCCCTCTGATCACCTTGATGGCCCTCCTCTAGACTAGTTCCAAAGGGTTGATATCCTTCCTGTGCTGGGGACCTCAGAGCTTCGTGCAGCACTGCAAGTGAAGTCACTACTAGTGTCAAAGGAAGAAAATTTATGTCAAAAAATACATTACTTGATTTTTTGGGCAACTTGGAAGCAAATAGTGGAATTACAAACATTTTAGCAGAAGAAACAAGCTGGAGCATGAGTGTGATTGTCTGTTATTGATTACCAAATGGTCATTCTCTAAATCTCTTCACCACTAGCAAAGACCATGACAAGCTCCTTAAATAGAGCCCCACACTGTCAGGAGAGTTTAAATCAGTTCTCAGTATTCATACCTCAACTAATATAACCTTAGGTGTTTTCATAGGCTGCAGAGTATCTAATCTTCTTTTATGGTATTTTCAAACTCTACCCTTCTAGTTTATGTAAGACAGATGCTGATCCTTCCTGTATATCTGAGTATCTTTCACTCTGTAACATCTTTAGACTAAAAGGTTCACTCAAGTTCCCTGTGGAATAGGAAAGAAATTTTTTCTTTGGTTAACAAGGAACTAAAGCAAAGCAAGTATGTCTATAGAAATAGGAAGAGGTATTCCAGGTGTAGGTATGCTGCACTGAACTTTGAGAAGGCTGCACACTGATAAAAAACAATTGGGTAGCCTAAAGTGCTGTCTAGAGCACAGCACTCTATGCACAGTGTTAATGAATGAATATCTGCCTCTCTATTATGCTTGTGTTGGAAATAGAGTGGCACCAAAACACTTCCTCTGTTTCTGTGGAGGTGCAGACCCTGCACTGAAATGCTTAACTGAGCTAGTTGTGCCATGTCCCAGTAGAAATGGCGCTTTTATAAGACTCATTAAATTATTTGGATACGAAATGAACAGATTGCCTGAATAAGAGGGAATTTTATCAGTCAAGGAGGGACAAGTTCAGACCCATCCCTGCTCCTTCAGAGACTGTATACTTGGCAAAGTATGAAAATATTTCAAGAAGGAATGACAAGAAGCCAGGAGCCCTATCATGCTGTTTAACTAGCACTTCTGGGTTCTCTTGAACTGCTTTCTGCCAGCTGAGCCCATTTCAGAATAGCTGAGGGGTAGTTGCCGTATCAAGATCCCAAGCTGGATGTTGAAACATCCTCAATGCATGCTAAACTCAAGCTACAATGAGGTCTCACAATCTTCAAATCCAATGAAACCTCTCGTTTATCTGCTCAGCTCTCTTAGAGATTTTCCCAGTGTTGGGAAACCCACAGTGTTCCTGTTTCAGTGTAACTTTCAAAGCAGCACAGAAATAGGCATCCTCATTAGCCACTATTTTTAATGGCTCCTTTAACCCTGTGCTTCCTCCCTCTGCAGCCTTCCAAAGCCTTTAATTTACAAATATCTTGACTATATCTGGAATCTAATGTAGAAAGGTCTAAAGGGAAGTGCCTTTTGCAAGAGAGAGTGAGAAACCGAGAAGCAGTCAGGAGAGGGATGGGCAAGCTGGAAGTAGGGCTGGGGAGAGATGAGGAGCTGAGGATGAGCTGAAGCAGGGGGAGGACGAGGCGAGAGGCATGCAGTGATGCGGGGGTGTGTGAGGGTGCGTGTGCATGGTTTGGGGAAGAAAAACCGACATCGTCTGAAACGGACGTGACTTTTCCAGCCGGGGCGGGAGCACTCCGGCACCTGAGGCATGCAACCTACCCTGACCAGCCTTTTCCACGACAGTGCAGGGGGTGAAGCCTCCCCCGCGGAGGCTGCACCCCTTGCCCGGCCGGGGGAAAGGCTCGTCAGGGCGGGTTGGGGACCGACGCGGATCCCCAGCCTGTTCCCGCATTGGTTCCCGTAAGTTCCCGCGTCATTTTTCTCCCCACACCCCGCTTTTCGCACTGGCAACCACAAGCCTCGATGGACGGGCGGGAGAAAGCTCGGATGCTCTGAGAGGGTCTGGGTTTGGGTTTGTTGGTTGTTGTTTTTTTCCCCAGGCTCCTGAACACCCACTAGGGATGTCCGGGATTCAAACAGAGGATGGTTCCCCTCCGTATAGGAATTGGACGAGTGGGTCGGAACTGAATGAAACGCGGGAGGCTCTTTTAACCCCTTCCTCCGACTACGATGATGAGGAGTTCCTGCGATATCTCTGGAAGGAGTATTTGCATCCCAAGGAATATGAATGGGCGCTGATCGCCGGCTACATCGTCGTATTCATTGTGGCTCTCGTTGGGAACATCTTGGGTGAGTCGAGCTCCCCAAAACTTCCCGTTCTCCCTTCCCGAGATGGGTTTTACACGGAGGATGGCTGGAAACCGGGGTGGGTTTGACACGCCCCGCTGGAAAGGCAGCAGTCCCCAGCCGAAGGGGAAAGTTCGGGCTGCGCGGAAAGGGCCATAAAAACCGCTCCCGCTAGGCGGGCGAGGGGCTGCGGCGGCGGCCGCTGGCGTCCAGGGCCGGGCACGGGGAGCGGGGCGGCGGAGCGCCCGGCCGCGGCTGCCGGCCGGCTCCCGCCCCTGTCCGCCGGGCCACGGTGCTGAACCCTCCTGGCGCGGCGGCGGCTCCGCCTCTCAGCCCGCTCCGGAGGATGCTGCTCCCTCCCCGCGCAGCCCCGGCCGGGCGCCGGGGGCATCGAGCGCGGGGTGATTCTCCAGGACAGAGACAGGGCACGGGGACCGGCGCGGCGCCGGCCCGTGAGGGGAACCTGCGCGGAGCCCGGCCCGTGAGGGGAGCCGCGGGGTCCCCTCAGCTGCCGGCGGGCGCGGAGCGCGCGGCGCCTTCTCCGGCGGCGCAGCGGCCGCGCTCCGTCCCCGCGGCCGGAGCGGAGCGGAGCGGGGACGCGGGGCGGGGGCGAGGCGTTCCCTCCCGGGCGCTCATTGAGGGAGCGAGGCGGGGCGGCGCCTCTCCTGGAGCCCGCCTCCTCCCGCTTCCATTCATCCTTGAAGGAGGCGGCGGGGGCGCGGAGCTGCGCGGCGGCCGCCTCGAAGGGAGCGGTAGGGGCGCTGGAGTGAGATGGAGAGCTGAGGATAGTGAAGGGAGGAGGGCACGGGTGGGCTGGGGCAGCGGGCCAGAGGGGCCTGGCCGTCAGCAGCCCGCCCGCTGCCCCCCCGCCGCTCCTCTTCGCTCCTCCCCACCGCTCCCCCGAGCCCGCTGCCGCCCACGGCGGGGGAACAGGCACCGGGCAGGGCGGCCACGCGTGTGCCCCGCCCAAGGCGGCCGTGCCCCTGCCGGGCTGCGGCTGGCCGGGGAGCGGAGCCGGCGCTGCTCCGCAGCAGTCCCGCGTTATGGACGGGCGCGGTGGGGCCGCGGGGAGCCCGCTCCGCCAGCAGCACCCCTTGGCTGCGGTCACGGCCATTGGCATTCCCTGTGTCCATCTGTGACACCGCCGTGAACGGAGCGCGCTGGGCCCCGCCCCGCCATACGGGTCTTTCATTCATGTTTTTCAGAAGGAATTGTGCATGGCAGGGCTGTNTTATTAACAGAGGCTATGTGCCCTGTAGAAATGATCTCTCAAAAGCACAAGTAGGTGATTTAATTTTTTTCTGCGCCTGTAATGAATAAAAGCCTTCATGAAGTTCACTTCTTATTCCTGGTTCTCAAACGAGAGAAATAACAGGAAGTTTCCATTCTACATTAATCATTTGTAAGTGAATGTTGACTGTATTAGTTTGACTTTAAGAGTAAATAGCAAGTTCTTGGTGGGGTTTTTTTGGTTTTTTTTTTTTTTTTTTTTTTTAGTAATTCTGTAGCGTTGCCCTAAGTGCCTATGAGCACGTCTGCTCAGTCCATTGCTCGGCAGCCAGCTTGATCGACAGTGTATATATAACAGCCCTAGCAAAGAAGCTTTATTTTAAACTAGGATAAAACCTGTCCTTTTTCATGATTTTGAGCAAAGACTATTTTAGGTGAATCACCTGTGCTTGCCTATTATACTCCACCGATACTGTAGACAAGCTGTCCTCTCACCTGTAAGAATTCAAGGTCAAATCTTCAGCTATAGGAGCTTTCGCCCTGTTTACAGTTTTCTCCTCCGAAGCCACGAGGAGAAAAACTTTCCTCTCTGTGCACCCACAAATAGGGATTATTCCACTGTGGATGTGCAGCTGTTCTTTCCTTGCATTTGTGTACATTAACTCTTTGCTTGGGGTGGAAACTGGCATCTGGTTCCGCATCCACCTGGATTCCATCTTTTACTGGATGGAATGTCCACCTTTTGTCCTCTGAAATCTCTCCAAGTTGTAGTACATGGTAGCAAATCTCTGTCTTAAAATGGAAGAGAAGTAGCTGAACACCTTGCTATCCACTCTAAATCACAGTAAATCGTACAATAGATCATTCAACTTTACAGCTGGACTCAATTAGCTTAAAGGTATTTTCCAACCTAAATGATTCTGTGATCCTCCTCAAGCTGTTTGCTCCATATTGTTGGTTCTGTTCATGGATGAATTGTTTGTGGTGTCTGCAGGTGCTTGGTAGCTGAATACTGTCTCATCTTTATTCAAGAAAGCTCACACTGCACTGATTGCAGGCTCATGTGATTCCGAGGAGAGAAATGGATGCGATCTAATGCTCTCTACAGTGACATTTTAGAAGAACTTTTTTACTACCAGTGAAATCTGATGCAGAACAGTGTACCTGTTGATCTCTCCGAGAAACTGATTTCTGCTGCTTGAAAAATCCATATTCAATCTTAATCTGGGATTTAGTCATGGACCTTCTCAAAGAGCAGGAGTGCTTCTAAAGAGTGTTTTAATGGCTACTAATGCTTTATAGTATCATCCTTAATGATGCATTGAGTTCCTTTGCTTATGTTTGCCCAGTGTTGCAGAACTCATGGCATGTGGAGTCAATGCTTTGATTCTATTTTTAACACATCCTGTTCAAATAACACTTAAGCAACTGGGAAAACCCTCCCTTTCCATGTGGGGTGCTGAAAATTACATTTCTGCTTCTTATTTTGGTTTGTGCACTCACATGGGATAAGGAGTGTCCCAGAAATTGTATCTGTGCAAGTGGAAGGCGCAGGACATCCCTTAGATATTAGTATTAAACTGAATTGAATAATTCTGACAGTTAATTAACAACCAAGGGTAGAATCAGAAGCTTGAACTTTGTTTGACATCTATTGGATTCTTGAGTTATATGCTATTATTAGCGGAATTCAGCAGGAATTCCACTTATAATAGCATATAACAAGATCTGCATTGCTATTTAGCTTTCAGTTTAATTAGGAGAGTTGACACAAACTGTCAGAGCTGCTATGCAAACCAGCTAAAGTGAAAAACATTAGCAAGCCTTTGTATTTGAATGCGGGTTTCAGTATTGCACACAGTGCTTCATGTCAATGACTGTTGTGTGCCGGGGTTGGCTGCTCACCAGGTATTTCAGTGTAAGTCAAGGAAAAGAAACAGATTTTACGATGATTTTATGACATATTTACATGAACATGAAGGGAATCTGAAATTTAGATGGCAATCTCAGTATGATGATTTATCCTATTTTTTCCTTCACTTGGTCACTATTTTTTACTAGAAGCAGAACAAGTGTGGAAAGTAAGGATTTTCTGTTTTGCAAATAAGACCAAAAATTTTCTTCACTACTGCAGAGCAATTAAACTCTTGCAATTTCTTTGCACATCTAGTGCATAACATAGAACTTCTTAATGTAGAATGTATGTTGACTGTAAAGACCTTTTTCTTCTTTATTTGAAAACATGTCATTAAAAATATTGCTTGAAAATAGGAAACTAGATAATTAAAGATGAAAAGGTATTTTTAGGATGTCTGATTCCATTCCAGGCTGATCAGTTGAAGTAGTTAATAACTGGAGTAAGACTACAAGGGGTTGAAAGGTAATGTACAACTACATATATTTTAACTCTGTTTATGCATATGATGAATGCAAATGACCCTTGTTGAAGTTATTCAATCACGTGGGTCAGGTGTTTTCGGATGAAATGGTTTCTCTCAGGGAGCATGCATTCATCAAAATGAAAATGTGCAGCAGAAATTGCTTGGTTTGATCAAAGACTGAAGGCAAAACAAGCAACCTTCTGGCATCCCACCAGCTGGGCTGCTGGGCTCTTGGCAGGCCTTCTCAGAGCTGGCAGGAGCTGCAATCTTTAGCACATACAGGCTGCCAGTGCCCAGCTTGAAAGTCCTCAACAGTACTGGCTTCCAAGGGTAAGAGACCATGCAGTACATCCGTGAGAAGTCTCAGAAACTTAATTTACTCACACAGTTTGGTGATACTTGTTTTTCATTCCAATTTAGAAAGAGATTGTGAGTGACTTACCCTTCTCTGGATAGATGTATTATTTATTATCTATTTTACAGTAACTGCTAGTTTTGCTGAGATCTGTAAGAACCCAACTATACTCCTTTCTTCAGAGTTCATAGTCTGACTCATAGAGTTCAACAGCCTCCATTTGATTTTTCTAGGGCTAGAGCAGAAAAAAAATCATTGTACAGATCTAATACCAGAGTCCTGCTCAATGCCTATGAATAGTCAACTCTCTCAAATGCTGCTCTGTTGTAATTTTAAAGATAACCAGTGAATACTGAGGTCTAGGCATACATGCCTATGTTGGTAGAATTGGATGAGTCATGTATTCTCTTAAATGATCTTCATGAATCCTATTTTGTTGCTGTAGATGAGGCATATTTCATTTAATTGCATTTTAAATTCTTACATTTCATTTTTCTCAGATTCCTTGGGGACCTGGCATTGAAAGGACTTTGTAATACCAGCATAAGAGTCACCTTTATCTGTTGGATGAGTAACTAGAATGGCTTTATCACTGTTAAGAAGACAGCACATAGGAAATGAGACAATATATATATTTTTTTCTACTAAAGATAGAGAAAGTAAGAGCTCAATTTATAGAAGACTTCGAGTATCAACTGAAGTACATTCTAATTTTCATAATATAGCGATTACTCACCATCTTTCAAAACAAAAAAAAATGAAAGGGTTTGGAATTTTTTTTTTTGTTTATAAAGCATATTTTATTTTTTGTGTTGCATGTCAAGTGAAACCTTCTTTGTTTTCTTGGACATAAGCAGCTGACTTACTGCCTGTCTCATGAGATGTGTCAGAAAAAAACTATAATGGACTGTTCCCTAGGGGAAGGGGTGCCAGGAGCTGAAGGCAGCAGCAAGACTGACAGGGTAGTGTACTCCCCAACACAGTCCCACAGTGCCTGAGAGCTGGGTAGGTCTGAGGATGTTTACCAGGTTTCTGTC